GGGAGAGAAACATTCGGCGAAGCAGAACCAGCGCCGTTCCAGCGCCCCTCTCCGCGTCTCCTTCTCCGCCACTGCAAGCCAGCAAGCTTGCCCCCTCCTGGAATAATAAAATGTTTTAGTGTCTGTGAGAAGCGTGGCGGGATGCGCCGATGGCAGACAGAATGACAGAATGTAAGCACGGCACTTGTCGCAGTGGCCGGCGCGGACGCGCGGACGCGCGAACCCGGCAGGAGGGGTGAGGCGCGGCGCCCTTTTGGCGCGGGCTGTACCATCTCCGCCGAACTACGAAGAGCTTGCTGCGCACAGTGGGCCAGAACACCGGGGTGGAGGCGGCCACAACTCTAGACTCTTGACGCGTTTTGAGCTCCAGTCACTAAATGGGACTCGAACCGATCGTGTGACCCTACCAATGAATTCCTTGTTCGGAGAGCAATCCATTGGTGGGGTCGCACGTTCAATTCAAGCCCCATTTAGCGACTCTGGAGCTTAAACACGTCAATCGTTTTGGCCGCCTCCACCGGTCTTCTGGCCCACTGTGCGTCGAAAAGGTATATGTGATTCTCTTGTCCACAGCGACGCGCTTCGAGTCGTCCTCCTCTTTTCTGTTCCAGAGCAGCCCTCTCTCCACCCAGCATCATCTCCCCCGACGACTCACCCCAATAAATCAACATCTTCCTAAACGAATAATTCACTTTTCTTCGCCTTTAAAAACATTCGTGTTGATTAAGGAGCTGGACGAGGTCCTCTTTTTCTCCTCCGGCTGGGGGTCCACTGCCTGCCTGAGTGCGAGGGAGACAGCCAGCGCGATGGGGAGAGAGAGACAGCCGGCCGGCCCGCCCCATTAACTCCTTGTTTCGATGACTAACAACAACCCCCTGCCTCCGAACACTGCTCCGGGCGGCTAGGCTCCGCGACGCTCTGTCGCTCTCGCACCCCTATGGGACGCGCCATGAGTGCGAGAGAGAGAGAGACAGCGACAGCATCGCCGTTCGGAATGAGGCAGCGCACTGCACTGTAGGCTACACCAAATGTCGAGTCATTAAAATCTGGCGACATCTCTGGGCCGTAATCGGCAGTGGCGTGGCGTTGGCGTGGCGATGCGCGGTGGCTCGGCCGCAGAGTGGTCGTTAACGGCCGCCTTGTTAGCGACAACGCACAGTGGATTTGCCAGAAGACCGGCGCAGGCGGCCGAAACTGACGCGTTTTGAGCTCCAGAATCGCAGAATGGGACTCGAACCGAACGAGTGACCCCAACAATGGATTGCTCTCCGAACGAGGAATCTATTGGTGGGGTCACACAGCCGATTCTACTCCTGTTTAGCGACTCTGGAGATCAAAACGCGTAAAGCGAGTAAAGTTCGCGGCTTAGGTCGGACGCAGTATCCGCCGAGATAAGGGGAAAAAATGGGAAAAGTCTTGAAATTAGTTTGGTTATCGGCGCATCCCAAATATTATCTATTATCTCTCGAGGAAGGAACGTAGAAAAATTGCCTGGAAAACTAGTCTGCTCATCGGCGTCCTGCACTCGTTATCTCTCTCTTTCTCCCTCCCTCATTACTCCGGCCTGCCTTCGATCCGCCCTTTTATACACGCACTTTATCCTCCCCGCCACTATCCAAAGTCCTGCAGACTGCGAGCCGCTCTCGTCGCTCTGTCTCTCTCGCACTCATTGGGGCGTCTCGTATGGGTGCGAGAGAGACAGAGCGACGAAAACGACTCTCGGAATCAGTCCGCTGAGAGTCCTGAGAGTCGGCCCATCATTTCGCCTCCATCCCTCTCTCCGCTGTTACGCTGTTACGCTTACGCCCCGAGGGAGCCACTCTTTCGCTGAGTCACCCGTTACACTGTCGGCACCGATTCTCGAACCGCTTTCCAAAATGATGATTTCGGCGCCGTGGTTTTTGATTTTACAGTGTGGGGGCGGGCGCGGGCGGCAGGCCCGGCGCGCAGGGCCGTGCCGCGGGTTGCCTATCGCCCCGACGGTGGGCGCCACAGCCACTGCGGAGGCGGCAAAACTCTTGACGCGTTTTGAGTTCCAGAGTCACTAAGCAGGACTCGAACCGAACGTGTGACCCCACCGATGGATTGCTCGTTCGAAGGGCAATCCATTGGTGGGGTCACACGTTCGCTTCGAGTCCCATTTAGCGACTCTGGAGCGCGAAACGCGGCACATACAGAGCGCCGCCTGAGTGCTCCGTACTCCGTGACGACTTTCGCGCGCGCTAAGTTTGGACATGGCCGCGCTCTCCGCGCGGCTGGCCTGCAAATTTCCAGCGAGGCTCTCTGGAGCGCTCTGCTTCTCCAGGCTGGCCATCCATCCATCATCAACTTGGTGCGTTTCTTCGTGGCGGCCCGGCGGCGCCATCACATCGCGCGGCTCTCGGTCTCGGCACGCGACACATGTCTGCCCCCTCCCCCTTCCTCTCCCCTCCCCCGGCATGCGAAATGGCGTCCTTCACGGGTCCGGCGCTGAATGGAACGGAGACCGTCTTGTCGCCTTGTCCGCGTGGGCCGACAGCGGACTGATTCCGAGAGTCGTTTTCGTCGGTCTGTCTCTCTCGCACTCATGGGGCGTTCCGGATAGGTGCGAGAGAGACAGAGCGCCTCTCGGAATGAGTCTGCGGGCTTGGCGCCACTCTGCCACACCGTCGTCGCGTTGGGTCCCGGGCCCCGGGCCGCGTCGCGAGGTGGCGCTACACCGCGCGGCAGAGACCCCGCGCGGTGTGCCGTGGGGTATTTGCGCCGTCCAAGGCGCCGTCGCCGTGCCGTGAGTCCGCGCGCCGCGAGGTTGGAACGCCGGCGCCGCGCGCTGCTTGCAGTGCCGTGGACGGACTCCCGCGGCCGGAACTGGACCAACCTTCGTGCTTTACGCGCAGCCAGGTGTGTGCCGCCGTGCCGCGGCGTTGCGAAGCCCAATCGACGCCATCTCTGGCACGCTGCACGCGGTTCGACGACGGCGAGGGTCCGCCGAGGACGGCGTCGACGTCGTCGCGCGAGTCCTTGTTGGCGTGGCCGGGGCCCGGCTCGCCGCGCGGCGCGCGCCACGGACTCGACGGCGGCGAGCTGTCTCTCTCGCACTCACGGGGCGTCCCGCACTGCGCGAGAGAGACAGCGCGACGAAGCGCCGTTTCGAAATCAGCCGGCAGTGCAAAGGCAAAGCCCACTGTTTACCCGCCTGAAATAAACCGGGCTCGGCGGCTCCACTCGTCCCTCTGTCTCTGTCGCACTCACGGGCCGTCCCGCGGCGGTGCGAGAGAGACAGAGCGTCGGGAAATGCAGTGACCGCCAGGCGAACTGATTTTTCCGCGAAACGGTCTGACTTTCGTCTGACGTAACCTGTCCGGGCGACGCGAGCCTTGTGTCTTGTCCTCGCAGGGGGAGGACCACGGACGACGGAGACGACGCCGGGTGCGCCAGAAACCACGGCCTCTCTCCCTCTCTGTCGCACGCGCGTGACAAGGCGGCCGTGTGTGCGTGCGTGGGAGAGACCCCTCCCCCCTCGCCTGGTCCCGCCCTGCCCTGCACCTGGGTAAAAATACCCCGCGCCCCCATCTGTCTCTCTTTACTCGCTCTCCCTTTCACACCCGGTGCCCCGTCTCGCTTCCACGCCGGTCCGGCCGATCCGACGGGCGTTCGAAACGGCTGGCGTAACGCGAACGTGTGTATGTGTGTGTGCGTCTGTCTCTCTTCTCCGGGCGAACCGTGAAAAGACAGGCGCGACAGAGTCTCTTCTCAGTTGATTGTCCGCGAATTAGGTAACGCTGTCTTCGATGGATCGCCTTGCTTCCAGGGACTCTCGGAATGGCAAAGGTTAGGTAAGGGCGAAGGATACTCATTACCTAACGTCACTCGCGCGCGCCCCCTGCCCCCGCGGCAACACGGCGCACCACACGTTACCGGATAGTTTGCTCTGCCCACGATGCTCTCCTCACACGGCGTCTCCTCAGTTGACCCGGTATGCCTTGTTAATTTTTTCCGTACTCCCCCCTCCCCTTTCTGGCGTTCCAGGATCCGTCCTGCTGCGGATGGGACTTGGAGTGGGCGAGGACGTGCCAGTCCGCCAGCCCGGCAGGCCCGGCGGTCTCGGAGCCTCGCGAGCCTCGGACCTGTCCTGGCGTAGTCCAAATAAGGCCGGCAGGCATAAGGCCTTGCCGACCTGCCAGACGCGGCCCTACCCGTACTACTCGCCGCTGCCTTGGCGGGCAGACAGCCGCTGTCTCTCTCGCACCTGTACGGCACGCCCCGCGAGTGCGAGAGAGACAGAGCGAAGGAGTCCGCAGCTGCAGCCTTCGAGGTCTCCAGCCTCCAGCTGCGCTCCAGCTGCAGTTCACGCGCTCCGTGCTCCGGCCGCGGTCGTCGACGCGGTGCTCGCATCCTGGTCTGGTCCGCCACGCCGTCGTGGTCGTGGCGCCGCACCACCGCGTCGCCGCCAGTCGCAGCATCCGCCGTCGGCGTCCTGGCCGCTGCAGCCGCCGCTCGCTGCACCGCGCCCCGGCCTCGGCGGCGAGCTTGCCGCCCCGCCCGCCCCGCCGCGCCCCGCCGCGCCCCGCCACGCCCCGCGACGCCCATCCGTAGTGCCGACCGCGGGGCGCGGGCCGCGGGGTGTGACGTCACCGCTGTAGGCGGCAAGGCGGCGAGGCGGGGAGGCCCAACTCCCCACACTCGAGTCGCCTCGGCCCGACACGGCTCCGCTCGGCTCGCGCTTCGCGTGCTTCGTGCTTCGCGCAGGAGGAGCGAGAATTTCGACTTGGTGTGCATTTTGGCCAAGTCCTAATGTCGTCGCCGCGGACTTCCGGCTAGCGGACCCCGATTCCAAGGTGAGCATGAGGTGGTTTGCGGTGCGGGCGTCCCTTTGCGCGTCCGCCCGTCCGCGGCCCGCGGCGCGACGCCCGCCGGCGCGGCGTTTGCCTCGCAGATGCAAGTTCGCCCGCCCCGCCGCGCTGCGCCCGCGTCCGCCCTGCGCTCTGCTCTGCGCCCGCCGCCCGCCGCCATGACTGCCGTGTCGCTCGCGACCGACTAGCAGTAGAGTCCTCGCGGCGCGCGACGCTTTTGCCACGCATTTCGCGGACCCTTCTCGGTTTCGCGTTCAAACCGCGGCCGTCGCGGAGCGCCGCGTTCCGGGCCGTCTTCCGAACGCGCTCGCCGGCGCTCGGTGTGGGCGTAGCCCGAAATGCAGCGCTTTTTCTGGCCGTGTTGACAGTTGAATAAACAAGCAGCAGCCCAGGACTCGCCGTCCACCAAAAGCAAAGGTTTGGACCGAAGGTTGCCGTGAATGGCGGCGAAAGGGCGCTGCCCTTGCGTGGTTTTGCTGGGTTTAGCTGCCGCTGCCGCGGGGGGCGTGGGTTTTCCTTCTCGAAGCGCGCGGGTCGATGTCGACCGATCCTGGCCGAGCCAGAAGTGAGGTTAGGTGGCGCCCGTCTGCCCGTCTGGTATTGATTTTGCTCCCTTTGTTCTGCGTGTGCCGTTTTAGGTGTGTCTGAAAACTTTCGGCGTTGCCTTGCGCCTCAAAGATAGGTTAGGAGTTATATCGGTGCGACTGTTGTGTGCGGGCTGTTGTTTTTTACGAGGTTTTGTGGTTGTAGGTTATGGTGGTGGGCGTCCTTGTAGTGTTTTAAATTTAGCCTCTCTGCTTTTCGTGCGGAATCCCAAGCTGAGCGTCGATCTACTTTATTGGTAGGCCTGGCTTTGTAATTTTTTAGTCTTGGTTTTCAATTTGTGGTCCAAACACAGCAGTGAGCTCATGCAGAGTTCTCGTAGGGGTGAATGTTTTGAATGTTATTTTATTTTGTCAACCTTTATTTTCACTTTTAAAATTCTTGATATGCCAGCTTACTATGTCTTTACATCTTGACCTTTTACTTTATGGGTTCATTGCACATATTTTGGCATTGTGTTGGTTCTTGATAACAACATCTTCCTCGTAGTGATGATTCTCTCTCCCTTTCCGAACTGCTCTGATGGTTCATGGGAGTTCAAACTTACTTTTCACAAGAGTGTTGATTTATTCCGTCTGCAATTTCTCAGGTGTGTGTCTGAGTAGTGGTTTGGCAGTAGAAGCCTGCCCTGATAATTTATGTTACCTTTGGCGTCGTGCCAGGTGGGGTAGATGGATCTCGTACCAGACCCTTTGCCCAGCCACTGGTCTGTGAATTGAATCAAAGTTACCCAGAATTGAACTCCACTCCCTTCCATCACAGCCCGGTGTTCAAAAGTGTGTTTTGTCAATGTATGGCCAACTTGATCTTTCTGTATTACATTTCTGTGTTGCATTCTTTAAAGTGCTTGGATAAAAAATAGTTTCGCTTAAAATGCATGAAATATTTGTGAAGTTTTACGTTGTAACAGGATTTAGCCAGTATTTGTGATGTGCCAAACCGGATAAAAACCGAAACTTTGCCTTTTTTTCAAAACATATTTTTTAGAATGTATTTTTTAATTTATTTTTTGTAATTGAAGCTGTTTGTTGCTCGCGTTTCAGACCGGACTAGACGTAGTGAAACTTGCCCATTCATTCCATTCCCCGTCTCGGAGTCCCATTGGGGCTTGGGAGGATGGTGGGGCGCGGCGGCGCGGCGCACGTGGGTAGTAGCAAGCCAAGCCAGCCGGGCTCGTCCTGTCTCTCTCGCACTCACGGGGCGTGCCGGGGTGCCGCATGGGTGCGAGCGAGACAGAGCGACTGTTCGTCTGCTGGGCCGGGCTCCGCGGCCCGTAGAGACGGAGGAGGCTGTAGGTGCATCCGGTGCATGCAGACTGCGGGATCGCGGAGGGCGGGGCGGGGCGGGGCGGGGCGGCCTGGATTCTAACACATGGGCGGCGGCGGTCCCGCGCCCTCTTGAGGCGCACGGCCTGGCCGCTCTGTTTGAACAGCCTGGCTCGCTCGCGCAGCCTCGCGCAGCCTCCCCGCGTCCGTCCCGCTCCTTTGGACCGGGCCACCGCCAGAAAAGTTTTAAAGTTTCGACTCGCATCATCTTTTAATTTGCGTCCAGGCCTGCAGTGCCATAAATCGGCGCGTTAGTCGACGCGAGGAAAAAGTTTGGCGAGAAGGAAAGGGGGTGGGGGAGGGCGTGGTTCCATCTTTCCATGGCGCTAGCGCGGCGAGCGCGGCGCGCCCGCTGCATCGCGCATTGATGGATGGTGTAGTGCCAAGTGGGGCCACCGGGGTGACTCCCTCTCTCTCTTTCGCGCCCCGACGGGCCCTAAGGGGCGCCCCGGGAGTGCGACAGAGACAGAGCGACGGAACGAACGGAACGATGCTCGGCAGGAAACCGGAAGGCGAGAGAGCGCCTCGGAGAGCGGAGCCCTGCCAAGCCCTGAGTGTGGAATTATGTACACTTTTTTGCACGGCCGGGCGGGGCGCACTCACTCCTAGTGCAGAGAGTGCCAACTTGAAAAAAAAACAACAAAAACGTACAAATCTAACTTAAGCTGACTGTATCTCTTAAACGGCGAGCGTTCGGAACTTTATGGCGAGGGCGACTTCAATTTAAAATTCGATTTCCTAATTCTGTTGTCTTATGCTTTACACGTCTTGTCGACCGTTTCCAAAATATCTGAAATAGAGATTTTTTGGTAAGTTGCTGGCGCGTGGCGCGAAGGCGCGTGCGGTGTGTGTATCCGAGTGATCTCTGTGAGACGGATTCTAAACGTTGTGCTGGCCTCGCGTCGCTTCGCGTCTCGTTCCGTCCGATTGGGCCCTGCCGGCCCTGCCTGCAGGCTGATTCCGAGAGTCGCCTTCGTCGCTCTGTCTCTCTCGCGCTCATACGGGACGCTCCATGGGTGCGAGAGAGACCGAGCGACGAAGGCGACTCTCGGAATCAGCCTGCTGGCTAACAGGCTGCTTGACAGCGTCCACTATGCCAGTCCGTCATTTCAGCCAATTCGCGTCGGCCAGGCCCACACGCACACACACGCACACAGCGTCTCTTTCTCGTTGTGGGGCCCTCGCCCACTCTGAATGTGAAGGCGCCCGCGTCGCTCTGTCTCTCTCGCACCCGTGGGGCGTCCCGTATGGGTGCGAGAGAGACAGAGCGACGAAAGCGACTCTCGCAGTAAGGACGAAACGATGGACCCCCTTTTCCAGCCCTTCTCCTTTGCAACTCATTCGCGTCTCCTCTCTGCTCCTTCTGCAGACTGACTCCGCGAGTCCTTTTCGTCGCTCTGTCTCTCTCACACTCATGAGGCGTGCCGTCGGGGTGCGAGGGAGTGACGAAAACAACTCTCGGAATCAGTCTGCGGCCTGCACTGCAAGTGCCGTCGACTTGCACGCATGACACAGTGTGGTGGCCGCTGCCCCCCGTCCGTCCGTCTGTCCGCCCGTCCTTGGAGGATATTTTGAAGCGGCAACGCGACGCGGTGTCGCGGACGCCCCTCCCAGCCCCTCGCCGTCGTCTAGCCGAGATCTAGGCCTCCCTCGCCACCTGGCCCGCCCCTAAAAAGAGCGCCATGCCGCTGGAAAAAGGTGGCAGGCTGTCATGCTGTTACAGTACGTAAATACAATCACACGCTGATATATCCAGCTTGTTCCAACAAATTTTCATTTTTCGAGGTGTGATTCTTTTTGGCGTGTGCATTGTAGTACTCAGGTTGAACGGGTTGAACGACTCGTCGAGTCCGCGGCCGGGCAGTGCACTATGGCAGTACACTGGCAGTGCGTCGACGCGTCGACGTTCGGACTGTGGACCGTCGTCGTCGGCATGGCGCTTCATAGTTTGTCAACACGCTCGGCCACACGCCTCCCCCCTCTCTCTCCCTCTTTCAATTAGGTGCGACCAAAGCCCAGGGCCTGCTTCCACGGCGCCTGCCTGTGTACGCTGAGAATGAAAGAAAGAGTGTCACTCTCCCCAACCTAGCTGTCTTCTCTTCCACTCCTCTTCCACTGCTTCTCTGCGTTGCCACCCTGCCTACCCCCCTTTCCACCCCTTTTGGACTCCCACCCTCTCTCTCCCACCCGTCCCTTTTCCACCCTCTCCCACCCAAATCATGCCCCCTGTCCCCCTCCCCCCCCCCTCTTTGACTTGCTGTACGCCCCTCTGAAGGCCGTTTTATTGTATTGGCATTAGCGGCACGTGGTAGCTGTGATGGGACCCCCCCCCCCTCTCTCTCTCTCTCCCTCTCTCTCTCCCTCTCTCTCCCTCTCTCTCTTCTCTCTCTCTCTCGTTCATTACAGCGTCGTTACGAGAGCGCGACAGAGAAGGGGGTTTTGGACGCGCCCCCCAGCCTCGCCCAGGCGAGCCTGGCCCAGGGAGCCCCGTAGACTGATTCCGAGAGTCGTTTTCGTCGCCCTGTCTCTCTCGCGCCGACGCGGGACGCCCCATGAGTGCGAGAGAGACAGGGCGACGAAAACGACTCTCAGCCTGCAGGGTGTGCAGCGTCTTCGGGACGCGCTGTGAATTAATCAACAATTAAAAGTTTAAGCAGGCGACAGGGCTGCCTTCGCCTTGGGCAGCGCAAAACGGGCGAGCGCCTCCGGCTCCGGGTTCGAATCCCCGCGCCGGCCGCGCATTCTCCCGTTTTCCTGGCTCCGCCCGCGGCGGGACGCGAACCCGTGCCCCTGTCGTAACAGCCTGACAGCACACGGCGCGAACCTGAAGCGCGACGCTCTTGTTTGCATGCACTGCGCGCGCTTTCGGCGTCGCCGGGCGTCGCCGGGCGTCGCTCTGTCTCTCTCGCACCCCGCGGGACGCCCCACGGGTGCGAGCGAGACAGAGCGACGAAAGCGCTGTTGGGCTCGGCTCGGCGAGCCGTGCCTCGCCGTGCCACGCTGTGCGGTACAGTTCTGCCGCTCTGCACATTCCTGCGACGCGGGCAGACTGCAGCGACGGCAACGCTTCGGCGACGCTCCAGCGACGCGAAAACCCGGGTTCAAAACCAGCACGCTTCGCTGGTCGCAGTTCCGGGCAGGCAGCATTTTGGCGATGACAGGAATGAGACGCTGAGTTCTCTCCCGCGCTCGACGCGCTACTCTGGCGCAGTGCTCGATTCCAGTCCCAAGGAACTTCCTTAGAGAAGGATTCCTGTTCATTCGCGTACAGTGCACGCCAAAGCGCGTATCGAGGTGACTGTACCGTTCGGTGACTGGGTCCTGCCGAGTCTATCGGACTGCTTATCTCGAGAGGGCTTTGCCACAGCGCCACACCCCGCCAAACCCCGCGCGGGACAGCCGCGACAGCCAAACCGGAGACAACACCCCTCTTCGGACGTCTTTCTTAAACGCCCCTTTTCGGGCGCCCTTTTTGGACGCCTTTTTGGA